CATTCTTTCTTTTCTCCTACAAGGTAAACAAATACTCCCCCTGCCATCAGCAGTTATGCACTGACTGTTCTTGGGAAAAACTTCCACAGCTGGGAGCTGTAAGAACACTTCTCCTATGATGCTGGACAACAATGGTAATGAGTGGTTTGATCTGTGTTAGACTTTCATTCCTGCCCCCCTTTGTGTGCAGGAAAACATGGGGGAGGAAGAGGGAGGATCTGGGAAAGAGAYGGTCCTGGAAAGGATAACAGGTGTCTTAAATTGTCTGTTTTTATCTKTCTCCTCCTTGTAAACTTGTCCCTCTCTCCGTTTCCCTCCCCAGTGCCGTAGTATTCTTAGTAGTTTGTAGTAATRAATCTATTTTGCAACTTAAGTTATTCAGCCTGTCTGACTATTCTCTGGAGCACATACGTATCTTTCTCYCAATTACGTTATGTTATCTGAAAGCCATAAATTTTCGTGTTAATTGGGCTTTCGCTCTCCCTTCTCCCTCTCTGGTGGGGGGGAGGGAGGGAACATCGTGGGTGCAGTGCTTTGGTTTTTCAGCGCAGTCTAAACCACGACAGTGAGTTACTGTGAAATKAGAATGTTCCGGTGCCATGGGAGAYGCTGCAGCAATTTCGGGTGCTGGAACAGTGTTTGCTCAAACTGCTGCCAGAGGTGAGCAGCAGCGCTAGATTTATACTTGGATGAATAACTCCTTGTAACTTTGACAAGGAGTAAGGTGTGAGAAGTCCAGGAGGACACCTTGCAGTGATACAGAATTTGGACAATTCCCTTTCTGCAGGTGTCTCATCCTGCAGAGACCTTACAGGGCTCTGAAGAGCAGTGACGAGCAAGATGCCTTCAGAGCAGGGACAGAGTGATTGAAAAACGTTCAATGCAGGATAATGCTCCTCCAGCAGAACAAAGGCAAGAGCAGAGAGCTGAAGCAGCACTACTGGTGTTGGTGTCTTTCCTCAGCAAGTGAGGGTTTTCAAACCTGTGTGATATGCTTAAAACCTAACTTAGGCCAGAAAAAGTCCGTCTTAGCTAAACTGATCCTGAAGGCATTAGAAAAAAGAAGTACTTTTTGTTCCCTTTTTTTTTTTTTTTGGTACCAAAAAAAGAAAAGACGGTGAGAAACTATGGGGGGGCAGATCAGTGTAGATCAGTACAAACTAACAAAAATCTTGGTGTTCCTAAGAGGTGGCAGCAAACATGAAAATGACTTCCTACTGCCATGTGCTCCTGGGCTGATGGAGCTTGAAACCTACATGTAAAACCGAGGCAGAAAAATCTTGACATGTTGCTGTGTCTTCCTTTTAAGGAGAACTCTGGTATTTTGCATGAACAACATGAGATGGCTGAACAGGTTTAAATCTTTGACTTCACAAGAATGAATCACATCAGACATAAAAGCTGCAACTGTTAAAAAATATGGGGCTCAGAGTAACTGTTTTTTTTTAACTCCACTTTATAGATGAACAGACATTTCTTAATTAAAGAGGAAAAAAAAGGACGAATCAAATTTTAAGACATGACAATGTATGAGCATCATTGAACCATTTATCATTTTGCAGCCAAGAAAAGTCACCCACCTGTCAGTGTTATTGTTGAAGAACAACAGGCCTATTTGAAAGACCTACAGGCATTAGAGAATTCACAGCCCTTGGCAAACAGTCAGTTGTCCATATTTGGAATTATTCAAACCATGCTGCTCTTCTGTTTTAAATTTCACTTGTTTCACATCCCAATAATTTTGTCTGGTTAAGCCTGTGTGTTTGAAATTTCGGCCATATGGAAGTCATGACTTTGTTTCGACAAGCTTCGATAGATTTTGTCAGTCCCAAATTCAGGAATTCACTCCATTTTAGGGAAGTGCTAAAGCATAACTCAAATTTTTAACTGGAAATCAGCAGAAATTGAGGATGTTTCTGTGTATTTATTAGTAATGTGATTTGGAGTATTTYCTTGCTCAGGATGTTTTCATATTGTTCAACTTCTAGACCCTGAGAATGTTTTTCAGGCCTTTAGCTGGACCTTCCCTCCCACCCATAGGAAGAGCTGTGCTAAGCAATAGTGTTTGCTACTCTTTCCAGCCTCCACCTCTGGAGCCCTCTTGATCATTTCCCTGTCCTTCATGTTACAGCTCATTTTGCATCATGTGCTTGGGAGTTATCCTGGATCCCTCCCCTGGCTAACCTCATGCCTGCTGGGTGGGCACTTTCTCTGCACTCATCACACCAGACATGTGGCTCATCCCACATGTTTCCCTCATGGATTTGGACTTTTCCATCAGGTCATTCTCATTCTGCAGCAGCTTCTCCAGGCTGTTCTATGTCAGACCAGAGGTATCTTGCTCAGCTCTCAGGTTCAGTCTCTCCTTCAACATCCGTCACTCTGTCTGAGCAGCAGGCAGCAAAACCACACAATTAAAATTACTTTTCCAAAACTGTGTGTGCCCACAGCTACTTATCAGTTTCATCACCATTAGATCTCATTTTGATAGCTAGGTTTCCTGTTTTTCAGGCTCCGAAGTGCATTGCTTTGGCCTTTTACAGTAGCATTTTCCTTTCATCTTCATGACTTACATTGTAAACCTGAGGCAGTTTTTCCAGTAGTAGTCACATCAACTCTGTAAACAAAGCTTAAGTTCTGATTTTATTGTCATAACAATCCAGAAATACACAAACCGTTGCCCTCAACAAACTGCTTCTTCATTCTATTCGTCTCCCATATAATTTTCAAAATCACTGAATTCACGGCTCCAGGTAACCTTGTGTTTGAATATAATGTGTAGTCTAGGAATATGATTCTAGAAATATGACCTTGATTTTGGCTGCATTAAGTCTACTAAATATGGCTAAAGTTTAATAAAGTGCAATAAGAGTAGGAATGTGTCATCACTCTCATTTCTTGGCTCTTCCCTCTACCATTTTACAATTTTGCATGGCAGTGTTTTGATCTTTGCTCACAGTTTGGATTTTAAGGAAAAATATGAGTAACTTTGAGGATATTAAAAAGATGATCAACAATTTATTGGTATTATATTGATGGAAACTTGCACTATCATTTCTGCTTCATCAGTTCCAGAATTTGACTAACTAACCTGAAAAATTCTATTACACATAAAGGAAAGTTTTTATCTTCATTAACATCTTTTCCACCAGTGCTGCTTTTTTTTTTTTTTTTTTTTTTTTTTTTTTTTTTTTTTTTTTTTTTTTTTTTTTTTTTTTGTGATCATTCTGAGAACACTTTCAAATTGTGTCTTACAGACATGAAGAATTGTTTGCATAATCTGGTATCAGTTCTGAATTTAATTCAAATTCTGATCAAAAGGAAGCAACACTTTCAGTGCTTCAAGCTTCTATCCCAAATATTTTGGTCCAAAAATGAAGCACTATTCCTAAGCATAAATTTATGAGAAAACTATTTCAAGAATCTCAAATGTTGTACTTTAATCACAAGTACTGTTAACTAGGAAGGTGATGTCTTTTCAAGTACAAGAAGAAATAAATGCCATACAACCTAATTACTGAAAAGTAAAAAAAAAAAAAACAAACCCAACCAACCAAAAAACAAAAATCCAAAACAAAACTGGATAAGATGCAGTGAAAGCTTACAACCACAGAAGACCTTATTGAAATGAGATTCTATGGATAAGTTACCAAGTTTCCAAATTTTAATCAGCAGTTACTTGGTTATGGTATGTTAAATATCCTTACAAGTAGTAACCAGTGGTGCAAGGCTCGCTCACCTGACAGAAAAAGCAGCAGCAGACACCAGCAGCTGGCAAATACGGGCACCCAAAATAAGGGATCCCTTCCTCTCCAAAGAATGTTGGTTGGCACCTACATCAAAGAATTTACAGAGCTGAAGAATCCTTACCTGTCCATATTGAAGATAAACACTGAACACAGGTGATTTGTCTTAGGGCAGCAGCAACTGGGTAAATTTCAATGGGCTACTGGAAAAAAGTAAATAATTGTTTCCCACCTGTGAGTTAGGGGCCCCACATCGTAAAAAAAAAAAAAAAAAAAAAAAAAAATCACAGGATCATGCACAAAGAGGTTAGTTAAGAAATCTTTAGGAAATATTGAGAAAGATTTTGCATGACTGATTTTTTTTTGAACAAAAACTTCACATCTCCACCTATTTTCTCCTTTGACACTAAATTAKAACTCTCCTCTGTAATCCTCCAGATTTACATAAACTAGGTATAACACTGCTGCATGATCTTCACCTTTATTACAAAAGCAACTGAGGACAATTTTTTCACGTTTTGATAAGGAGTCATCAGCATATTCCAATGCTGAAATCAGAAAAAAATATAAATATTCTAATGTAATTTCCGGTTTTAAAGTCTATGAGTACAATTGAAAAATTCAGAGGACGAATAGTCACAGAGAATGCCAAGGTYATGCAACAACTACAGATGAGAGAAAAGATTTAGGTAAAGGTCTTTAAAAAAAACACCTAACCATGTACTAGTTTGCAAGGTACAAATTTTAAAAACAGTACAGTTTGGGGTTTTTTCCCTCGTTTTTTTTTGTTGTTGTTTATCCTCTTCAAAACCAGGGTAACAGCTTTTATCATTACTGTGAACTTTTTGGTGTACTGGAAGGAAAAATCAGATTTAGTAAGTGAAAAAGTGGTATGCTTTGAAAACATCTGCCACTGTAATTTCTAGAATTTTCTGTAATTTTGCTATCCTAAATAAGTAGCACATGATACGAATAAAAAGTGAAATTGCACCACAAGTGCTGGTCAGGACATCAGGCAATAAAAGCGAGCCTGCAGGGACACTTCCTTGGTGTGCYACTGCAGGTGGGATGTGTCTGCAGCAATGGTGTGTCTGGCCAATACTTGGTAACTTATCTACAGAATCTCATCTCATTAAGTTCTTCTGTGGTTTAATCTTTCACTGCATCTTAGCCTGTTTTGATTTGACTTTTTAGTTGGTTTGGGTTTTTTTTTTACTTTTCAGTAATAATTAGGTTGTATAGCATTTATTTCCCCTTGTTCTTGAAAAGACTTCACCTTCCTAGTTAACAGCACTTGTGATTAAAGTACAACATGGAGAGATTCTTGCAAGACCTCTGAGATGGTCCTGCCACACTGCAATCAAAGCCAGCAGAGAGGAACAGACACTTTCAGAGCACGAGTCACACAGATGCTCTACTGCCCGTGCCAAAGGCTGGGCAAGACATGGTCCAGCCAGTAAGACTACAAGCATTTCACTAACCCCCTTGGTCCTACAGCTTTTCCCTTTTTTTTTTTTGTTTTGTTGGTTTTTTCCCCTAAAAATAACTGCTGGTGATTTGTTTTTGCAGGAATTGCAAGGAGGAAGCATCTTCTGTAAAAATATTTATTTTTAAATATTATTTCTTTTATTATTTTATTTTTTTAAAAAAGAATATAACCTCACAACCATCTTATTTTACAAAAGAGGTTTATGATGCAAGTCAAAATAATTTATATCACATCTGGAAACTGTTATAAATAACATATAATGAATAAATTGTTCAACTGTGATAGTTCCAAAAACTTTAGTACATTATAACATCTGTTTCTGAGTCCATCACTCTCTTCAGCAAAATAAACAAGATTTTGCAGTTTTGAATATTTTAGAAAATGACTTTTCAGTCTTCCATTTCTATATGAAGTCCCCATTGCTCCTTGAACTGCAGGAGATACATTTCTTGGTCCTCAGATGATTTCTCAGATACCTCTCTCTCATACAGTCTGAGCAAACTTCCTTCTTTCTCAGGATCATCACACTTGAACACTCCTTCGCACACCTCATTTTCAACACTGGACAAAGTAGGAATATACAGTCTTCCACTGTGAGGATCCCAATCAACTAATATGGTCTGCTCACCTTCTTTCTCTGTGAGGCCCCGTGTGATTTTTTCCAGCTGATGATAGGATGTCTGCCCAGATTTTTCAGTATCCAGGTCCATGAAGCTGATATGGGTCTCACCTGGCAGTTCATCTGCTGTGTCAGCCACCTTCAAATTAAGTTCATCTGTTTTCTGTTCGCCTGCTACCCTTATTTCGAGTTGGGGGGAATATGGCTGTCGTGTTTCCGTATCAACCACATCCCCCAAAGCAATCTGTGACTTACCCTGTAGCACCCTGGGRGCAGAAAACTTCTCTTCTGGTTTCTGACCAGCACTGAATTCTTCAGTCCTTACATCATGTTCATACTCTACAACCCCTGCATTTTTATCCCTCAAACTCGTCTGTGTTCCACAATGGCCACAAGATGTCCAGTTTCCAGTTTGGTCCCCTTCCACTGAAGTATCTTCTTTGTGTGAAGTCTCTTCATGTGAAATTTCAAGCAAATATTTTGCTTTCAGCAGTTGTTTAGAAGGCAAATCCTTCTCTTCAGTGTCGCTGTAAACAGTGCAGTAATGGGGACTTCTCCTTTCTGACAGTTGATGGGATTCCTTATAATCATCCCCATTAAAAGTGATAAGGTTGAGCACTATTTTCTCACTTGGTACAAAAACCCGTTCCTTGCATTTGTCAGTGTACTGCCATACCTGGAAAGTGAGRAACATTTTGAGTGAAGCAAAAKAAAAATAAAAAATCTTGCTGCTTCTTATACCATCATGTATTTTGAATATATAAGGTTAGGTTAGACTTTATTAGGAGGTTATTTCAATTTAGGGAAGAAGAAAGTTCATCATAGAAACATTCAGGAGTGTCAATATGTTTCCTTTTTTAACTCTATCCAAAGCACAACTATATTATGACCAGTTCTAATATCCCTTTCCTCACCTTCCCCATGTCAAAATAATGGTTAGAAGATTTCTGTCAAATATGGGTTTTGTTTCCACCAGCATAAATCAATGTGACTTTGGACAAAACACCAGTCTTGTTCTTGGAACAAAGATTACTGAATCTATTCCACTCCTTCTAACCAGTGAAGAGAAAATGCCATCACAACCAGCTCCCACAAGCAGTGTCAGGTAGCATGTTAAGGTATAACTTAGAATAAAATAACACCAGGTTTCCTTTCAGAGAAGCCTCACATCAGGTAGAAGTGCAGTGTACGCAGCCTGCGCTGCGCAGTCTGCCACAGGCTGCTTTGTGACACTGTGTGAAATCATTAAATTAAATGATAGAGATCTTTCTGAAATGAGTAATATTTCTGGAAGGAATGAACACTGTGTGGTCAATGGTGGAGTGAATAGGAAAAACAACCAGAAGCTGCATTTCAGTGCTTTCAAGCTTGAATACAAGAGTAAGACCACTAATCCATGTACCAGCTAGACTGAAAGGTCCCACAGGTCAGAAGTGCTGGACAAAAACAAATGGTTTATTCCATGCTCCCCCAGCCACACAGGGTGCACACATGCAGTAGTTTGTAGCTTGGGAAAGGCAGAGAACATCATTAAAATACCAGGTCTATATTAACTTGTTACCCTAACATTGACTGAATCCAAAGGTGGAGAAAYAAAATCGAAGCTCCAAGATGGTCATAAAAAAGTGCAATGAACATTTAAAAAAAAAATCAACGTTCAAATTTCATCTTTATTTGAGAAAAAACTCCTGAAGTTAAGAGTTCAGTCTGCTGCTGAGTGGAATTTTTCACTAGGTAGCCCATCATGCTCTTGGACCCTAAAGAGTTCTGTCCTGCCAGCTCTCCAAGAGACCAAGCCATCTCCCCACACCGTGCCCTGCATCCCAGGGATGAAGCATAAAGAATGAGACAGAAACAGACGTTTTACCAGGGCCTGTAATGAGAAGGGACAATATTTTTAAACTGAAAGAGGCTTCATTTAGACTGGATATAAGAAAAAATTCTTTACTGTGAGTATGAATAGGTTTCCCAAAAGTTGTGGATGCCCCACAATTGCAAGTGTTCAAGATCAGGTTGGATACAGGTTTAAGCAATCCAATCTAGTGACAGATGTCCTTGCCCATGTCAGAATGGTTGAACTAGATACCTTTGAAGTCCCTATCAGACCAAACTACTCTGTGATTCCACAGTTCTGTGATAAAACCAGCGCCTCATCAGTTCAGGAGGTGTTTCCGTGCACATCTGAACACACTGCAGCAGCAGCAGCAGCAGCAGCTGCTCCACTCCTGAGCCTTTCTGAACCCACAGTCCCTCTGGAAAGATTCCTCCTGTCACCTCTGCCCTGCTCTGATCTTCTTCATCAAGATGAGCATGTTGAAACCAACAGCCTTGCATCTCCCATCCCACAGTGTCACGCAGACTGGATTAACATTCARGTCTTCATTCATTATGTAATTGTWTGTTTATGGTTGAGCAACTTGTTTAAAGGTACYTGTGAGAAAGTTCTGCAGAGCTCATGAGCTGAAAGCCAGTAACACTTCATAGACTTTAAGTGCTTTTCCTAAAAATTGACAAACTTGGCAGCACTAAGAAGTCTGAGAACATATTTTTGCAGAAAGTGTATTTGGGCTGTCTAACAGAATGTGTTTGACTAGACATTTTTGGGTGTTAGGAAATGGTACAGTATTTGAAAGCATCCTTGAAATCCAAGTTAAATTATCTGTATGATGCATATGTGTTAAAACCTTCACAATCACAATTAAGTGTAAAAATATGGTAATACCCAGTAACCAAGAAAACATCATGGTGTTTCTGCACTGCTTAATTCTTCGCGTTTCTGAATTCAACAAATTAGTAACATCTGTTCAACTGACTTCACATAGTGCTYCATCTTAGATAAATTTATGGAGATCTGACATCCTGACAGACCTTGCCTAGTGCACCTCAGACCTTGCTTAAGGCAATGACTCTTCCCAAACCAATAGCTCCATCCTGATCCTTCTTAGCTCTGCTCATCTTTTCGGATCTGGTCATCTTTTCAGATGCAGTTGCAAACTTGAGTTATTACTCTGTTTTTCTTGCATTTAGTAACTYTCAGTGTGGTTTTCTTCTCTTAATCTGAGTGGCAACTAGAGATATTATTTGGAGCTAGCCATGGTTTCCTCCAAGCCTGCTTGGAACCCTGGAAAACACACAGCTCTACTGTGAGTGCCAAGGCTGGCAGTGACCCCCTGCAACAGAAGAAACGTACCAGGTTTGTTGGATGTTTTTGTTTGTGGACGTGAATATATTTATGCACACAATAGCATGTCACTGAAATAAAAAGGAGAGCCAGCATGGTAGGCATAACRTATCCAAATGTGATTGTTATAGTCTCATCTTCTCTTTTATCTGTTAAGAAAACAAAGTTCTCATGGTAACAAGCTACTTTTTAATGTATGTAGACAGTAATGCGTACATTCACTACACTGCTTTTTGGATATGTAATGTAAATGTTTTAGATAAACTAGAAATTTACAGAAATTAAAAAAATACATTAGAGCTACAGGACAATTTTTATTATTGTCTAAATTGTAAACTAAATTCTAAAAAGAAGTAAACCTCCCCCTCACTTAGGTTCTCCTGTTTCTAACTTCAGACTGACCCAGCTCTGCCACTCCCAAACCTTGAATTCAAGGAAAAAAAAATTCTCCATGCACTAAACTCAAAGAATGCARATACTTTCCTTCAGAGGTACTGATGTAGCTTCCAATCAGTCTCAGCTATGCTTTATTAGAGGCAAAGCTATATCATTGGTACCAGTGCAGGGAGAAGGGAGCAACCACACTAATCTCTCTCAAAATGGATACATAATCCATCAATCACCGTTATTTTTTTCTAACTCACATCTTCTTTTTTTTTAAATTTTCCACCTTGTACATACCTTTTAATGTAGCAATGCAATGTTCTTTGGAAAAGCCACTGTCCAAAAGCGGTGTGGTGACATGTATCTGTGCACTGACACAATAAGCTGTTCCAGGTTCTAACCAGGGCACAACCAAGGTGTTGTTGCTGATGGAGAAGAACCACTGGAAGACATCAAAAAATATTTTCCCCGCCTTTAACTCCTCAGCTACAGAAAGGTCACAAGCATACACATTTTCTAGAAAGATTAATGATGCTCTAAGAGCTGCCAGCTGCATCCTTTCTTCCCAAATGCAATCAGCATTCAAGTTACTTATTAAATCACATCCTCTCTGGTTATTTTTTCTTCCAATTAAATATTCTTGTACCATTACTGAACAATTTCACACTTCATATGAAGCAGGACCATTGGCTACTACTGGCCCACGTTCTTGTTCTGATGCTGCAACAGAGCTAAAGCACCATTCCAACCCTTGCACAAGCCAATGGTATGGTTCCACAAAATATTTCAAACTGGGATGTTCTGGAAAAGATAGAAGCCTTAGGGTTAACAGGATTTATGCAGACCTTGGAGTCCAAAGCAAAGCAATTGCTCTATTTCCTGCACTGTCATGAAAAAAAAAAACCAAACAACAAACCAAACAGAAAACYCCAAACAAACACAACCAATCTAAACACCAAACCACTTTTGTCTACTACACTTTTGCTAATCTTGGCACTYCAAGAAACACAGAGCACAGATTTAATAGGAGGAACAGTTCTACAGCCTTGTCAAAGCTTACCCTCTTCTTTGTTTTTTTGTTGAGGACAGACACATTGTACTGTAAGCCAGGATACACTTGAAGCAGAGATATGGATTCYTCCTCAGGACTTCTCTTCCACTTCTCAGGAACAGCCAGAATAATTGAAATAGATCTGTCAGTAGAAGATACACTTACCATGGGTGGATCAATTTTAGCTGGAAAAATGAACACATAGAAAAAGCAGTCAAATTCAGCAGAGGTAAACTTATTTGACCAGTTTCATAAAATCGATCATATTACATTTTTGCAATGTTTAAGTCTAAGCAGAACTTAGAACAATTTATTTATATTGGTAGAAAATTATTTGATCAGATAACTAAGAGGTTCTTTACAGCGAGAAAGTGAACCCTGACTTGGAATTTTGCCAAGGAATTCCTGGGACTTCACAGCATAAACAGCCTTGAAATTCAATTTACTTAAAATAGGCTGAGTTAGCAGTATGTTCTTAGATTATCTAGCACAGATAAGAAATATTGGGCTCCAGAGTACACTTACTGATTGGTTTAACAAAGCCTTTTCAAAATCAGAGTTATTTACACTGTGAATGCGCCACGGCTTTTATTTCCCTTGAGTAAGGCTTTACCATAGCATTATAAAGTATTCAGTATATACCAGACTATATTATATGTGTGTGTATATATATATATATATATATATGTATCCAAATTCTAACTGAATTATTTCAATTACTTCTGTCAAAAGCATAAATGTGAAACAACTGAAAAAAAAGTAACTTCATGTTAAAATGACAATATAATCCACAATGAAGGCACATGCAGTCTGAGCACAGATTATTAAACATGGCCATTGAACATCTGGCTGTGTGCTTAGCTTTCCTTACTGTCTGTAAGAGGGTTGAACCGTGTGGTCTCCACCCAKTCAGAGCACATCCCATTTAGGAAGGCTTTAACGCTTGCATAGTATTGTTCTTCGTAGTCAGAGGTCTCACTGGAGAGGTCACACCAYGTTCTGTTTATATTCCTGCATTCTGGCTTTCTAATCCATTTGCCAACACCATATCTATATTGCAAAAGAAAGAGAAAGGAGTTGTACAAAAGCTATTTCCATTATATTAGTCACCTGATAACATCATTTCGTCTGCTGTATTACGGCTGATAAAGCAGTTTGTGTGTTTAGCAGAAATGTGAAATTTCAAAGAATCCCAGCCTCAGCTGAGATGAAGCACAAGACTTCCRCAAGTTATYAATGAAAAATARATCAGAGTAGGCCCTATCCAGAAGRAGCCAGATGGAACTAACTGCAGTGTTAGTGATACCAATCCAAGTCAAGCTTTGCTTGTGCAGAACAGAGATCTCTCAACCTCAGACTCCACAGCTTTAAACTCTAGACACACAATAACAGAGACAGGAGAGSTACTTATATGGACAGAAAGAGTTCTGTCAGAATGGTCAGTGACTCATCCTCAAGTATGGACCAGAAGACACTCAGGGTCTCCAAGATGAATGATAGGAGACTTCTCATTCCTGCCTGTTGCCTCCTTTTCTAGTTTARAAGACTCAGCTGGGACACAATGAACTTCAAAACCCTTTTAGTTGAAAAAGGCCATGTATCTGCTATGAACAATGCCTTGGCACTGACCAGGGGCAGAGGGAAGGGACTTTCTCTCCATTCCAAGACAAAGGTGTTCCTTTCCAATGGAGTAAGCATGGCGAACAGAGCAGTGCAGTAACGCTGGTCCCAACAGAGAGAGCATTTTGCATGGCATGGCTATGCTTGAAACRAGCTCTGCACTCCCTCTTTTGTACATTTTTATCATTAATATTGCTGCTGTCACTGCTCATTTTCTTATCTCATTGCTCTTTCCAGCAAACCGTTCTTATCTCCCATCTGTGATCTTTGCCTTTTGTGCTTCCAGCTGGAGGTGCAATGGAACAGAGTGGCACCATGGTTTTTTTAGCAGAACTCCTAAATTGGGAACACCATTCCTAAACCATGACAACAATTATCATTCACTCTGTAACTGCTGAACACTCTCAAGTTACAGGAAACTTCCAGAAGTCTACATTCATTGCATGTTCTGGAAATGTTCCTAGATTGAAGGAACTGTAAATATTAAGGATTGGGAGCATAATATAATCTGTGACAATGATGCTACATCTGTTTAGAAGCCAAACTTCTATCACTGCCCTTCAGAAGGACACAGAGCTCTCACAGTAGGAATAAAGGAGATGGAGTCTGGTTCTCAGGCAGATTCCTTGATATCCTACTAAGGTGCAGACCCTGGCAATGAAAGGGCCTTATTCCAACCACATTACTTGGTTTTGCACAATGCTTGRTAACATCAGTGGATTTTCTCCTAGAGAGGCTTGCTCAATCAGAAGAAATCTGAGGAATTGGGTCTCTCAGGAAAGACCAATGACACCCTGGGTGTTATTAATACTGCATTAAATACTACATCTCCATATCTATTTAAATGTGTAAAGAGTACTCATGTGGAGAGATATCACAGCATATCCTTCATTCCTCTGTTTCATTTTAGGAGGAATGAGTCTGAAAGCTTCCATAATACTAGAATGTTGCTTCCTTCCCTTTTGTAGGAAGTACATCTCCTTAGACATTTTTAAACTTGAAGTGAACAGTGCCAGAAGTAGAAGTTAAAARCCAYACAAATTAAGTCTAKCTCRCACTTTAGTCMTTTCWTTACTTTAYATCAGCAATAACMTTGCAKGAAATTGGGGGGGRGRATTATTATTTAAAATACTAAAATAAAAKAATAAAAGKCAGTGGAAAATAAAATAAACAARYCAACTTACACTGAATATTTCACCCTGTAGAGTACTCCATTGCCTGTGCCCTCTGGTGATGACCAGTGAAGGACATTCTTCATGTTTATAGATTCAAAACGGACATTCCTAGGGTTGGGCAAAGARCAATACAACTCTCCTGAGAAAGAAAATAAGAAAGGAACAACACGCACTAAGAATCTGCAAGTACATATGCTTCCAAAGTAGCCAAAAGAGAGAGTTGTTTTTAAAAAGGCCATAAATTCTACCTTTTTTAGCATTCAAAGTGTAATGTGGTTGGCTACAGAAAATACATTTTTTTTTTACAAGTGTCCCCACCTACCTAGTGCAGCCTCAAATTCCATCTTTATAAGTGTGCTTTTTCTCTAGCAAAAATGGCTTTGCCATTTATGACAGGCACTGGCATGTAAACATTCAGGAATTGGAAGCTAAAGCTRGAAATGCTTGGCTTGGAAGAGACACATTTTTAAAACTGCATCTGTATTTGAATAGCAGAAAAATTCAACACTGAAAATTATAAAAAATCTCCTTAGTACTTCATGAGAATCTTCTTGTGGCTGAGCGGATTTTTAAAAGACAAACCAGGCATTTTAAAAAAGAYACACAGAGTCTACTGCAAACACAGCTTTACAAACCAAAGTATGACTTTACTCTGGAGAATTAGACTGGATGATCACAATAGCCCCAGTATCATTGGATCATCTCTGCTGATTTGCCAGGAAAGTCAAAAGCAAACATCTACTTTAGGTCACATATCTAAATTGCTGTTAATTGCACCAGCTTTTGAAATTAATAAACAAGCAAATCTGGGTATCCTAACACAATTTCACATCTTTCTAATCCACACTGGTAATCTAACCAATGTCATGAGGGTGCTCCCATTGCTAAATTGCTTGCAAAATGAAGCCTGTGGGCCCAGGGGAGGAATCCCAGGCTCAAAGTTATGACTCAAGCCTCAGCTACCCCAGCCATGTGCCTGGGGGAACAGCCCCAAGGCCAGCCCTGAAGCTGCCACTGCTGGGAAGGAGCTTCCCAGTGCAAAAGCCACAAGAGCATAATGGGGAAGAGAAAAAGTGACCGTGTTTTGTCAGGGCTTTTCAAAACCCTTTAATTTCCTCCTCCAGGAATGCAATTTTAGTTCTTGAGATAAGAAAATGAGGCAAAGAAAGCGGGAAATAAAATATATATGAACACAAACAGTGGGAACCCCTTGGAATGAACAGCCCTTGAGCTTTTACCTCCATAAGCAAACCTTAGGGGTTTTTTTGTAGTATATGTCACTATTAYTAGAGTAATAGCATTCATCCTCTTATTTATGTAATATATAGCTGCTTTTACACCATTTTCCTGATTAATGTGCAGACTTCTATCTGTCTTTCAGCCAAACAGTAAAAGCTTTTTTCTCTTCAGTACCTTTACTAAAAGAATCTCCTTTCAATTCTGTAGAGACCTATTAATTTAAACTGTTTCAGTGCAAACTCTGGGTTTTTGAAGCCTCTAGCTGTACATTAATGCTCAAAACAAACATTGGTGTGTGCCTGCATCTGTATCTTGAGATCAYAACACTGTTTATGGAAGGTATTTCTAATGTTGCTCTCTTTTATCTCTAGCACTTAAGTGTTCACTGGCTTGCATTTTCTAGTCAGAGACCAAGTTTTGTCAGGTACAGCCCTTGGGRCAAGCTTATCTATTTACAAGATGCAGAAAGTCCCATTTCCTTGACACTTGGACACAGAAATGTCCCATGACAGTCAGCTTGTAAGAGCTCAAGCTACAGACTTGGTTGTGACAACATAAAAGAAGTTCCAGGATGCCAGGGGATGTAAAAGCAGCAGAAGGGACTCTCCAGGAATTTGTCTTATTCTAACAGTTGCTTCCAAATGGGAAATACAGAATCTAGAAAATCAAATGTTTTCATTCCCCCAAAATAAATATCCTCTGCAACAGCTTTAAGTGAATCCAAATGTAAAGATGAAGCTGCCCAGSAGAGATGACAAAACAGTTTGATTTTCTGAAGAATTGTTTGCCTGTACCTGTCTWCAATTGTCCACCCTTATATAAAAACATTTGTATTCCTCAAGCACATTTTAAAGTGGCTGTTTTAATTTGGCTGTTACATTAAAATATTTTTAAATGATTAACGTGCACAACTGCCTCTTTGACATTTTAAATTTTTTTTTTTTTCATTTTAATTTCCCTCCTCACAGTGTGGTTTCTGCGTGGTAAATGAAGTTTCAAAACAGAAACACTGACTGYAGAGGAGGAGCCAATCTCAGTATGCAGAAGCCACAGATGGTATCTTCACAAGATCTCAATCATTACAGCAGCGCTGTGTGCTCCCACCTACCCCCAGCTCAGTGAGATTTGGGAGGCAGAGGGACCGAGACCGTTAACTTTCCATGAGATGCAGAAGCAGAGATTTGGTTTCTATTTCTGGTTTTGTCTCTTTACTAAAAGGCTCCTGCCCTTACAATAAATCATGCAAGTTAGTTATACCTCAAATCTGCACCGGTAAAACAAGGATAAAAATATCATACTCCCCTGTCTCCAGGAAGAGTTAAGAATAAATTCCTTTATGTATGTTTGGTGATCAATACTATCAAGAGGCATCRCTTAGAAAACAGATCATACATGGAGCTTGAGTTTCCATGGTTATCAGCCAGGAACAGACTCCAGTATGTGCATCAGCTGCTTGTTCCAGTATCTTGTCTTTAAACACAATACCTCCATTTATATTCAGATTTTATTTCCATTTATCAGGATTAATGGCACGGATGTCACATAGAGTATTTTCAGTTTGTAGTGGCCTAGGAGCAGAAATCAGTCATACWTGTGGCTTTGCTAGGTTTAGCCTGCCTCACTGATTGCTGGCAATGGCTGTCATTCACTTCCCACTGAATGACACTATTTATTGCATGGAAAAAAATAGAATCCTCATTACTGTCTTTGGAAAGGCTGTAAATGAAACCTTGACTAATATTATTGTTTACATCTTCATGAGTGACACCTGGACTGGAAATAAAGTAATAATAATAGGCTTGCAAACTTCACCACCACAAGGAACAGCCAAGTCCTGATCTCAGAATAAGCTACAGTGAGACTCTCCAAAACAAACATGACTTAGCCTGAGAACACCTTTGCAYGTGAGTGAAAATCCCCGTTGACGTCAGTGAGATTATTCACATGAGTAAAAGTCTGCCTGGCAGGTGCTTCATCTTCTCTTTATGAAATCACCTGCCAGGTTTAGAAACCTGGTCAGTTTTAATCACATCTTTGCTCRAGCCAGTACTGTTCAAAGCTCAGTTTTGGTCACAGCCATCTCTATCCACACACATGCATGGACACACACATACATGCACCAGGATAAACACACATAATTTCCATGTTACAACCATGTAATAACCATAAAATTATAACCATAATCCAGTCAGTGCATCTGTGTTTCTCTGGCTAGGAGGTCCCCCTGCCTGTCTCAGTGACGAACAGCTGTGTTTAATGTCAGCGCTGCAGAGCAAATACAGCTGCAGCTCTCCATGTCCTCTGGCTCTAAACAGGTTTGTTARCTTTGCACTTGASTTGGGCAACCCAGCAGCTGCAAAGYATAAAAATATATACTTACAGAAAAGCTGAGATACTTTTTCTGTGCAGTGGCTACAATTCTGGGTTGGGAGAAGGCAGAGGACCCACTGAAAGCTGACCTATTGGCATCCAAGTGCCTCCCGTGTGACCACTGTTGTTTACTGTAGACCTTTCAAGCTGAGTGATCATCTGCTGGTTTTTAATGTGGTATGGCACAAAGGTGCAAACACCAAATTATCCAATCAAATAAAACAATCAAATAAAAAACGAAGATCACAGAACCTTCTAGACAACTGTGRTATCATTTAAGACAGTGAATGATGYGGAAAGCATTAAGACAAAGATGAGCCGTAGTGCAATACCCTTGCTACCCACAGCAGTAAAACCCAAGAACTCCTCCCCTACAGTCATCTCAGAGCTCAAAAGAGGAACTGCTTTTCTGACAATGRCAGAGACTTTGGCTTCAACTGCCGTTGTATTTTCTTTTTTACAGAAGTGGCCCTTAGGAGCACCTCTGATGGAAGCAAAACCTTTSTGCTGGGTACTGAATTAGCAGACATCACTGAAGGCACACACTGCAGCTGCCACTTCAAGGCCACGGACTGAACCCCCACTTACACASCTCAGAGAAGGGACAGCCTTTCAAGCAGGCTGAGTCCCTGATTTACCTTTTCCCACTGGCAGCTACACCAGTGAAACATCGACCAATTAAGGAGAAATCGCAGATACATTGCTTCTGGCAATGAGTGCYCTAAGGCACTGCCCTTTCTTTAGTCTTTCAGTTCAACTTTGGGTGACTTCCACCATACTCCTATGAAATGTTGTTTGCTCCTTCTATGCTGTTGCTTTTCATTTTTCAAGGTATTTTTCCCCTCCTTTCTTCTTCCAGCTCATCTGTTTTGATTGTTATGTTGTTTTCAGTGAAAAATAGTCCCTCAAAAACGTCTAAGTGTAACATAAAAATAAGAATGGTCATACTCAGAGCAAATATTCATTTAGCATTGTGTTCAGTGTCTCTCACAAGCAGAGGGTTGGGGCTGTCTTTCCTGGAACATCTCCAGCAAGTAGGCCCTGGCCATGAGGAATGTGAGGGAGTGCACCAAGGGGTGAACAGCGGGCCTGAGCCAAAATTGGAGATCATAAATTACACAGAAGAAGGGAAACCCAGCAAAGCCAGGAATACACTTCAGCAAACTTATTATTTACTTGCCATCTTAGCAACAATTTAAACAAATGAGTATACACCTTAAGAATTAAGTGGTCCTGAAATTTTTTTTTTTGTGCAGATTCCTTTTGACTCGAACTCAGCAGACTGAAAAAAGAGGCAGGAGGAGGAGAGGTGCACAGGAGCCACTAGAGCCCAGCTGCCTTTCCTCTGGTGGAGCTCTGGTGTCCCGGGTGTGCAGTCAGGCTGGTGAAACCCGCTGAGTTGAGTGGCACTGGTGGGAATGTGGGGAGGAGCACAGAGGTGATTTCCTGTTCAAGTCATAACAGCAGCCGAGARACAACCACAAAGCACACTCTGCTCTCCCACGAGAGGAGCCCGTCCCTCCAGTCACAGCCTGCTCAGAATGGGCACAGGGGGAAAAAAGGACAGGGACAGAAAGGGAAACATAAGACTGCATGAAAACCAGGGGGTGGAGCAGATGGAAGAGCTTGA